AAAAAAACAGCATAAAACTTGGTTAACAGTTGAAGTATATAAGGTAGATATTTCCTCCTGTAACATGAAACCCAGAGATAAGCAGTCCAGGGCTCAGTTATATTTTCAGCACCCCATGCTTGTTCTGTCCTGCGTTTGTGCCTTTGGCCCTCTTGCTTGTTCCATTGTCCTTGTAAAATGGGTATTTCATTTCAAAGTGTTGTGTCTAACATCTGTGCAGAAAAAGGGGTTAAGTGTGTAAAGGATAAATTCCATTTCTGCTGTGCTTGCCACTTTTTATTAGGAAAATAAGCTTTTCTAAAGACTCCATCGGATGGTAGAGTTTAATTTTCATTTAAATGTCATTGGCTAAACCAGGGTTACGTGACAACTCCTAAGGTAGCTGACTAGGCAAGGAGTATGAGATTTCCACACGTGGTTTACACAGATCACAAGTCATGCCTAGAGTTGGGGAAGGTAACTTCCAGTAATTAAGGGTTTTGTCTCTACTTGAACAAAATAGGATTATGTACACAGACAAGGAAACAAGGGAATGAATGTTGGATCGTGTAATCGCTTCTGGAGGACCACCATTTCAGCTTTTCCCCTTACTAACCGGAACACTCTTATTTGCATTGTTATGTCATGTTTTCCCAGCATTCTTTGTCACATGACTTAAGTGAAGTTGAGTAACAAAAGTTAATCATAGTACTATAAACATGTAAGTGGCTTTAGTGTTCTCCATAAGAAGACATTCAAGTGCAGGCCATCCAGCACCGTAAGCATGAATATTAAGTTTTTTCCAGCCCTTGTTTTCTAGTTAACATGTGATCTTCGACCTTGAGATAATAAGATGGCTACTACCCTTCCAGGCATCACATCTATTCCCCAGGGGTAGGGTTGCTGGATAAAATATAGTTTACTCAGTTAAATTCGAATTTTACGTATCACTGAATGTATTTTGTTAGCATAAATATGTCTCCTAAATTGTATGAGATGTAACATATTAAAAACTATGTTATTTAAAATTAAAATCCAAGACAGCAAATTTATATTCTTATTTGCTAAATATGTAAGCACTGCTTATGAAGGAAGAAGAGGAAGAAGCAAAAGGACTGTCTTCTACAGAGGCTTTGTCTAGGAAGGGAGTCTGTCCCCAGGCTCTTTCTCTGATCTCTTTTAGCTAGAAATAGCAGCAGGGCCCCTGGGGAAGTGCTTATTTTTAGTTAGCTGCAGTGCTGTCCTGAATCAAATCAGAGCAGACAGGAGAGTGAGTATCAGGCAGGGAGCTTGTATCATTCTCCCTGAGTGTCATTTCCCCATCCAGAATAATTACATCCAAAGGTGACATCAAAATGTGTAACAACCAATAAATATAGTGTTGAACTGACCACAAGGAACAATGCCAACCATTAAAGCCAGCCAATCCAGTCATGCTAATGGATGCCAACCCTGCTAATATCACTTTCTTGGGTAAAATTAGTATTTATTTTTGTTTATTAAAACTGTAAATAATTGAGTTCTTTCTCTGACTCTTTATTCTTCCAATTTATTTTGTTTTTATCTATTCGGTCATGCTGGGGATTAAACCCAGGGCCTCATTACATGTCGGGCAAGTGTTCTACCACTGTGCTATGCCCCAGTCCCACTATGACTCTTTATTCTTTACAGATTTTCAATATCCTCTGACACACATCGAGATCATTTTTCACACCCAGGTTTTTTCTTAAAGACATCGTGTCCAGAGCTCTCCCTAAGAGCCCCTCATCCTGGTCCCTCTCTGAGCTTGTATAGCTCCTCTTTTCCAAGTGCTTGGCTTTGTCAGTCTTGTGTGGTGAAATTCATTTTCTACATCCTGTATTCCTTGCTAATATTTTCTCATCTCGCTGGAGTTCATCCTTTAGTTGCTGCCTGAGAAAAACTGCATAACAGGTAAAGTTTTGAGACATTGTATTCAAAAAATGTCTTAGTCTACTTTTATACTCAATTGAAGGGATGGTTAGGGAATTTCATGTCATGATTTTTTTCTCACTGTTGCAGGCATGGCATTTGTTGTCCTGTAGCCTTCTCTATAGCTGGTGCCAGTTCTTGTGTCTTATTCTTTATAGGTGACTTGGTTCTTCCAGCAGTTTTTAATGTCTGTTTATCCATGATGTTTTAACACTTTGTGCTGATGTTGGAATGGATTTTCTTAAAATTCATTTTTCCTGGGATGCCAGAAACAGACTTTTTTACTAAAATAATTCAAATCCTTCAGTTCCTGGAAATATTATTATATTGTTTTCTTGGTAATTTTTTCTTTTTTCTTTTTGGCCGGCTCAGCCCACCCTGAGGGCAGGGCTGGTGAGGAATGTGGTGCTGGGGAAGGAACCATGGTCCCCTGTGCTTGCCTAAGCTTGCCTAAGCAGGCACTTTAGACCACTGAGCTATCTTGCCGACCCACCTTTGGTAATTTTCTATTCTGCTTTCAATCTCTCTTTTTGAGAATATCTATTACTTACAATGCTAGGATTTGCTGGATTGATCCTTTTACTTTCTTACCTTGACTTACTCTTCTCTTCTGTTTCTATCCCTTTAGGGTTTACTTTCCATCCTTTGATAGATTCCTTCAACTTTATGTTCTCTTTTACTAATTCTTTTTTTCTAATGTAGTTTTTATTTCCAAGGGTTCTTTTCTATTCTTTGAAGTTCCAGGTTTAAAATATTCTATTTTTTTGGTGTGGTTATAAGGCCTTTTTCTTGTTTATTTTCCTTTCTCTTCTTATGAGACAGGGTCTCACTATATAGTTCATTTATATGAACTCACTTATGCAGTCCAGGCTGATTTATTTCCTCCTTCTTTCCTTCCTTCCTTCTTTCCTTTCTTCCTTCCTAGTTTGAATGACACAATTGAATTTATGTTTTTTAATGAATATACTTTGTGGAAAACAGTGTCCAATTCACAGTAGAGAAAGATGAAAATAATAACATGAAGCTACATGATCAACATTACAGTTTAAATTTTAACTAGCAACTGACCAGCAAGGAATAAAATTGCATTAACTCACTTAAGAGAAAAAAACACTACCTTCTTTGTGGGAAGCCGTTATTAATAAAGACGCTGTCACAGTTAGTTCAGCTCTCAAACTTTATTATGTACAGCGCACACGGACCTGACAAGGTCCACCACCCTCAACTATCTAGTCTCTTCTGCCTCTCGTGGGCAGGGTCAAGCACTTTTATAACAGTAGGGTAGCCAATCAGATCTTAGCAAAAGGTGTAAGCTGATAGGTTAGGGTCATCGGTATCTAGGCAGACATCATTTTTACCAGGTTGTTTACGCGGCATAGAGAATCCCGAAGCAGGAAATAGGCGCCATTTTAGGGTGCGGCTGGGGCAGCTCCTCACACTTCTTATTAAAATCACAACTATTCTTTCCTTCTTATTGTAAATATGCTATATTCCATAAATTTTCATATGTAATGATTATAAATGTTGAATTCCAAATACTTATTGTAGTTTCCTACCAACCTATGATTAAAAAATATATATTTTAATACATATACACACTTTATAGAAGTATAATAAATTTACTGAGGCTTTCTGTGCCATACTAGGTGTACTCTTTATAAACGTTCCATTTGTAACTAAAAAAAACACATGTTCTGTGTTTGTGTCTATGGCCATACTGCCCTAAACAAGCCTGATCTCACCTGATCTTGGGATAAACACATTCTGTTCGCTATTATTATGTATATATTATAGTCTATTATCATGTTATAGTTCATATATACTTTTTAGATTTTTCTTTTATTTTTTCGTGTATATTCAAGTCTTTTACTATGGATTTCACAACTTCTTGAAATCCTGCCTGTCTTTCATTACATACATTTTGAAGCTATGTTCATCTTTTCTTTGTAGTCATGAAGGTGAAAGAGGAGAAGGCCGGTGTAGGAAAGCTGAACCCCACAAAGTATAGGAGGAGATGTCTGGATAAAGGTAAAGACATTTTGAGAACTTGATGTAGATCCCAGGAGGGTCTGAGAATTCTTGGATGTGGTCTGTATAATAGCCCTTCCAACTGGAAACTGCAGAGCTGCAGACTTGCTACAGGCCAGCCTTCACCATGACTTACAATGTAATGGCATGGTCTGGGGCCATGTCTCACAAGATCGGAGAGTGAAGTTGAGGACACAGGAGGTAGACAGGAAAAATGTTCGGTAAGAAGAGAAAAATAGAGCTGGGGAGATAGCTCGGTGATCCAAGCACCTGCCTGGCAAGTGCAAGGACCTGAGTTCGATTTCCCAGTACCACATGCTGTGCAGGCCCCGAGCTGAACTGGCCACTGAAACCGGGCATGGTGGTGCACGCCTGTAATCCCAGTGCTGTGGAGGCTGAGACAGGAGGATCACTAGAGTGTGAGCTACATGGCAAAACCCTATACCAAACAAACAAATAAATAAGAGATACATAATTGGGAGGGGACCTGAAAGTGGGTTTCTATTGGGGACTTTTTATCTAGGGGTTTTTATACTTAAAAATGACCAGGTTTCATACCACTCTGAGTCAAACTAAGGGCAACGTATAGGTCTAAAACAACTTTACTTAAACTAGAAATGGGCCAAGAAGTTGAGGCACAAAGCAAGCATGTATCTGCAGGTATCTATTGGCCTCAATCTTATCTAAGTAGTTTATTAAAAGAACAAAGTGAGAAGAAAAAAGCATTTTTCTGATAAGTAGGGGCAGATGTTGTCACTGTGATTGTCCCTTACCTCGCTTGTTACCTCGCTTGTTACATCCCTGGAGTCCACTGTCCATCAGGCTCTTAATTCTTGACTTAAGGCTCTTGGTTAACTGACCAAGGTGTGTTCATTCCGAATCTACCCTGGGCCCATTGCATCTTTAGCATCCTGCTATCTTATACTTAACTTGCCTGTTTATAATAACAGGATTGGGTCAGGAAATTGGCATTTGCACCTGAATAGATTAGGGCACGGCTTTCCTAAGACCAAACCCACCTGACTTTACCAGATCTACACACAGTGATTAATACCAAATAACAACATTTTGCAGATTCTGAAAACGGTGGCTCAGAACCAGTGCAAGAAGGCAATGGGGGAGGGTGTTTCTGTTTCTTTGTTTGGCTCCAATAACAATTCAGAGGCTCCCAAGTCTCCTGTACAGATGGTCCCTGACTTTTATTTAGGATGGTAGAAAAAGAGAGGCATTCAGCAGAAACATGCTTTGAATTTTAATCTTTCTTGACCTAGCAATACACTGTAAAATACTCTTTTGTGATGATGGACTGTGCCAGAGTCACAGCTCTCTGTCTCTCCTATCTTCCAGGTAATAACTAATGCTCTCTAGGTTACGCTGTTGGGAAGATTTAGTGTATATAATAGTTTTTCTACTTAGGATATTTTCAATTTACAATGGATTTATCTTTACTTTGAAGTCTCCTACATTGTTATAGCAAATTTTAAACACAGCCTGACCCCTAGCCAGAGAATCATAAAATCTCATGCTAAAGGCCTACTTGCCTTGATTCAGTTTATACCAACAATATCTTTGGTTTATAATTTTTTGGTATTGTGGCTCTAACTCAAACCATCTACATGCTGAATATTAAATTCAAATGGCATTGGAACTAGAGCTTACTTTTTAAAAAAATTAATCTAGATATGGTTCTTATTAATCATAAAAATAAACTTAAAACATATCTTAAAGCTAAAATGCAAAACACTAAAACTTCCAAAAGACAACATTAGAGAAAGTCTGAGTTACTTCAAATTTGGTGATGAATTTTCAGATACAATGCCAAAAGCACAATGCATGAACAGAAAAGTGAAAAGTTAAGCTCAACTAAAATAAAAGATTCTGGGCCAGCCAGATAGCTTAGGAAATTAAAGTGCCTGCTTAGGCAGATGCAGGGGCCAGGGGTTCGATCCCCGCTCTGCTGTGGCAACCCTGTCCCCAGGGTGCACTGAAATAGTGAATAAGACTGGGCGTGGTGATGTACGCCTGTAATCCCAGCACTTGAGAGGCTGAAAAACGGGAAGGATCACTACTAGTCCAATCTATGTAGTGAGACCCTGTAGACCTTGTACTAAATACATAAAAATAAAATAAAATAAAAAGATTCCTTTTCTGTGAAAGATACTGTTAAAGGAAAGACTATAGTCTAGAAAATATTTGCAAAAGATATATATGGTAAAGAACTTGATTTCCAAAATATAGAAAGAACTCTTTCTTTTCTTACAAAGAACTCTTAAAACTCAAAAATAAGTAATCAACACAATTTTAAAACAAAATGTTTTAAAACAAAATGAACAGATGCCACAGAAGATACACACACAGCAAGTAAACATATAAAAAGGTACTGAAACTCCCCACAAGGTATGTAAGCATCATGTACTGCAAACATGTACTATTACAACATAAACAAAGTAATCCCAGTATTCAGGAGAGCAAAGCAGGAAGATCACTGCAAGTTCACTCAGCTTGGGCTATGTAGTGAGTTCAAGGCCAACTTCAACTATATAGTGAGTCTCTGTCTTAGGAAATAAACAAATCAATAAATATCAATTGATCAGTCACAAAATATATGCTCAATATTATGTCACTAGGAAGTTGCAAATTGAAACAAAACCACTATGCATTTGTTAGAATGGCTAAAATTCAAATTAAAAAATAAATAAACAAAAAACCCTGAGAATACCAAATGGTGATGAGGATGTGGCATGATAGGAATGTTCTTTTGCTGATGGGAATGCAAATGATGTAATGTCTAACAAAGCTGAACATAGTTATACGTCATAGTTATATGAACCACAAATTATGTTTCTAGATACCCAGTTGTGTTAAAAAATTATATCTATGTAGAAGTCTGTACAGGAACCTTTATAGTCCTTTATATTCATAAGAAACTGGAAGCCACTAAAATATCCTTGGATAGGAGAGTGAATAAACCAAGTATGATGTAGCCATATAATGGAATATTATTCAGGGATAAAAATAAATGCACTATTAAATCATGAAAACATATGCATGAAGCTTAAATACATATTGCTAATTGAAGGAGCCAGTTGGAGGAGATTAGCATTTATACTATGTACTGTTACTGAGGGACTCACTCCTGGACCACATGTGAAAGTCATATCTGATCATTGTTGCTGTGGAAGGGCAAGAATCACAAGATAGGATCTTGGCTCATTCAAATAGAATTCTAACTACAGCATCTAAGGTATCTGGGGGCATTACTGTGACTATCTGACCATGTGGTTCAGAGGCCTTTACAAATGACTTGCAGGAGGAATTTGGAAAGTTTGGAGGTGCTGGCTGGAAAAGCAGCCTTAGAACACTGTATGCTAAACCTAATGGGAGATTCTGGTTGGGACTCAGAAAACCAGAATTCTGAGAGTAATGAACCTGGTAGAGACTAGACTCAGGACGTTTCTGTTACCAAGGGTGATGGGGTCCTGGATGGATTTCTAGGTTCTTGTGCATGACAAACAAAGAATTGTTTGTAGTACACAATGGTAAAGACAGAGCAGCCAAGTTTAATTAGGCAATAGTATGCTCAGAGGGAGTGGGCTCATGTTGGTGGAAAGGAAAATGGCATACCACTGTATGCATCGGGGTTAGGAAAGTGAAACATTACAGTGGATTTAAGACATCTCCCTTTGGGTCTTCTAGAGAATGATTGATATTAACAATAGACAGGGTGCAGAGTCATGTCAGCTGTATCTATTATACATGTCCTTTAATTCATGATGTTATAATTGGATATATAAGATGTAGTCTGTACACATAAATTTTCAGTGAGCTCCAAGTGAAGAAAGGTTATTACAAGTTATGCTGGCAGATCTGGCACATATGCATCCTGGTTTGGGATTTTGGAATTTTCCAGGGCAGGCTTACTGATTTTTTTTCCCCTTTATCTCTGCTTCCACTTAGTAAGCCTTAGAGAAAGGTGAGGGGTTGACCCTGGGGTGAGGGGTTCCCCAGGTTCAGGTGAGTGAAGGAGAGTGTCCCTTCAGCCCTAGTTGTACTATATATATTAGTTAGACTCTAGACCATGTATGTTTTGCTCTGGCAAAACATTTGTCACACTTTGCTCATGTCCAGAGTCTTTGCAGGAGACTGAGATTAAAGTAGCAGAGTAATTAACCTATCAGGAAATTTCACAGCAGTTCAACACTTAAGCAGTTACATGGATTCTGCTGGGAGATTTTAGCCAGCTCTACACTGAGAATATAGAGCAAACAGCATTGCAGAGTTATTTAAAAAGTTTTTAGTTTGGCCAGAAAGGAAGCCCCTGATATAGTTGGGGCCTGCAAAGATGGAGCACAGGAGAATTTCACTGATGAAAATATTGGTATTAGAAAGGAGCTAAGTACTTTGGAACAGGAAAAATGGCCTAAGGGGATGTGAAGAACCATCATGACCCCACCCTTTGAAGGCTTGAAATTGCAGAAGTGAAAAACTTTACTTTGAAAAAAGAGCCTCAGGGCATTATGTTCCAGAATGCAGCAGCCTAGGAATGGGAATTGATTCTGCTGGATTCAGTTTACTATGCTCAGCCATCCAGGCATTTGGATGCTTCTGCCTCCGCAGCCATGAGCAAGACACAAAAGGACTTGATTACTGCTCAAGCTGGTGGCAGACCTTGATGTGGCGCTAGTTTTTCCCTGCATGCAAAATGAAAGAATTGTGGGATCATGAAGACTTCCACTCAGATTCCAGAAGACCTGGGAGGCCAGGCAGTATATCCTTGTAATGCACAAAGCTTTGAGAGTGAAGCTGAAAGTGCAGTCGAGACCCCAGGATGCTGGAAAAGCCAGGAATGAAGAATGCATGAGGAAAGCTGCAAGGAGTGGTCAAAGCCAGCCCAAGAGAGAAGCTCTGAGGTGGATGGGGCTGCCTGAGCCCTTTGAAGCTTACTTCTCACTATGGATTGCTGTAGGTGCTGGATATGGAATTTCAGGATTTAATGTTTGTCCTGTTGGGGGATTTCTCACCCCTTTCTAACACTTTATTCCTTCCTTTTGGAATGAAAGTGTTTATCCTGTGCTTTATATGTCAGCAGTATTTAACTTTCTTTTGAATTTTATGGGGCTCACAGCTAAGAGAAGACTTAAATCTTAAATCTCAGAGGAAACTTGGGGTTTGGAATTGTCAGCAATACTAAAACTGTTATGACTTTGGCAACTCTTAGAGATAGACTAATGGCATTTTGCATGAAGGGATGCCCAGGAGTCTTTGGAGAGCCAGGGCCAGAATGTTATGGTTCTCTAGGTATCTGTCCAAAGCCTCATCTGCTTATAAGGTGGGGCTTTGGTGAGGTGATGACACTCTAGGGTTCAGCTTAATCCATGGTAAGTATATAGCTAACTGTGATGCTGGTAGGTGAGGCCTGGTTGGAGGAGGTGGTCACTGGAGGTGTGACCTGGAAGGATATAGCTCCTTCCTTCCTCCCTTGAGCTCTCTTTCCTTCCTGCTGCTATGACCTGAGCTGTTTCTCTTCTGCCATGCCCCTCCACCATGCTGTCTTGCCTTGGAGCCAGATGATTATGGACTGAAACCTCTACAAACTGTGAATCAAAATAAACCTTTTCTCATTACAGTTGTGGTGTTCAATATTTTGCCTCAGCAACAAGAAAGTAACTAAGACAGTTTCCCTTGCAGCAACTACTGAGTTGGTTCAGACATGAAATTCTGTCAAACCCAAGCCTTTGGGCTTTACCTGCCTGGGAACCTCACGTCTCCTATCTTGCTTCTGTGGCCCCCATATCTTTAATGGTATCATTAAAAACATAAATCAATGTTTACTAATTCTGCTTCTCCACTCTATGTGTTGTGTTCACAGACTGCCCTTCCATCCATATCAGGCTTCCAGTCCACAGTTATACTCAAAGAAAAGGTAACCAGAAAGGGCATCTCTCAGGCCTGCAAAAAGTCCACTGGGGTCTTCAACCAGACAAGCCACAGCAGGAACTGACCAGCCCAGGGAGAGGAACAAGCATCAGGAACAGGAACATGGATCTTATCAGCAGGACTCGTGAGTTCTTTGAGGAGCATGTTGTGGGAAGCCATCCTGGTGGTGGGTTTAGGCAGGCATGGCCAGCCAGAGGATTCTTTGGAGAATGTGGATAATGACCCATATGGCTCGGCCTGCCTCTCTGGCCCTCTGCTTGACTGCCATTGCTGATTAGTTTCTTTGCCCTTTGGACACTAGAGTCCAGTCTGAATCCTCTGTCTCTCTTTGCTGGCTGGAGACCTCCCCTCTGATTCATTCTATGTGGATTTTATACTTTAATTCTCAGAATTGTTTTCTTTGTTTCTAAATTCCTAAGGGTTGCATGGTTGTTGCCCTAAGAGGTTGTCATGTGGCAAACACATGAAATTGTTGCCTCATGTGTTTACCATAAGGCATTGCACTCAGTAAACTGAATTTCTTACTGCATACCACACCTTGTCTCTTCCCTCGAACTTATAGGAATGGACAAAGTGTCTAGTCACTCTGCATGGGGAAGGCCCTTCAGAAGACTTTCCCCAAGACAGAAAAACTCCCAAAGCCTTGCTCCACTCCTGCAGAAATAATTTTATATGAATTAAGTGTTATCGTTTTTCTCCTTCCTGTGGACAGAAACTTTTCAGTCTTAAGAGGTGTAAATGTGTATCAGGCTTTGGGTCAGATGCTAGTACTGGAAGAAAAAAGAAAAAGAATAAAAAGGAATGGAATCTTTAGAGGACAGCTGTGATACTTGATTTTCTAGGCTTTACTAATATTCCTGAGAGCATGATTTCACTCTCAATATACTTTAAATTTGCTTAAAAATAGTTTTTAATTGACTTATATATTTCTACTATCTTAAGCATGGCAAAAATAAGTTTACTTTACCATCAACACCTTCAAAAGAGTATCAGATCAGTGACTGTATCCAATTATCTCAATAGGAAACCTGATATACCACCTTCTAAAGGTCACCAGAGCCACCACCAGCCCTCCAGAGCCATGTATAACCCCCTCACTGTCACCAAGCCCACTGGGGGCTGTGGTTTTTCCAGAATCAATGAGTATCATGTAGAATAATGAGGTGTCATTTTGGGAAGTCTGATATAGGAAATGAACTCTGATTAAATATACACATACACAAACATGCACGTGTGTGCACATGTGAAACACACACACACACACACACACACACACACACACAGGAACATTAGAGGGCAAGAAGAATGCAAGCCTAGTGCAAGACCTGCTCCCATGTGAGTTTGGGTTGCCTCACACATACTGACATGGTCTCACCTGCTGCCTCCCTGATGTTCAGGGATGAGGTTACTCAGTGAAGTTCAAGTATGTTAGATTCCTTCTGAACAAAGAAGAAAGCACTTCAGAGTCGGTGCTCTGTTCAAAGAGGCTGGAAGAGGTGACATGACACATTCCAGAAGTGGTTATGTACAGTGGAATTTGGTTGCTTTGATGGATTTTGGTTTACTTGAGGGGAGATAGGTTTTAACTTAAAAATTAAAGAATATGGATTCCTTTGGAATAGTTGTACACAGGTTGCTACTCTATTAGCGTCCTTGTGCTGAGAGATTATACCCAATGTCCACAATTTAAGAGACGTGCAGTTTGCTTATGGTTTCAGTCCATGATCACTTGGATAGAAGACAGAGAGATGGTGAAAGGCCATGGTGAGCAAAGCTGTTCCCTTCATAGTGGTCTGGGACAGTAGAGTAGAATGAGTGAGGGACCAGATGTAGACCCTAAAGCTATACCTCTATCACCTACCCAGACACACCTAGAACTGTACTTCACCAATCCCCAGGGATGGATTCCAAAGCCAGTCAAGTTGAAACTTCAACCTAACTGCCACAGGTGTGTTTTCATGGCTACACATATCATGTGTGTTACTAACTTGTCCTTGACTTAGCCGTGGGCCAGGGGAAGCCTGAGGGGACAGGAAATTTCAGGCCATGTCTACCATTTAGAGTAAAGTAAGGATCCTTTTAAATGGAAAACAAATTTTTATTATCCATAAAAATGTATGCATATCATATCCTACTTTAAGAAATAATATCGTAACTAACTCAAGTTTTTACTCCATACAATGTATCTTTCAATTATAAATTATCACCCAAACAAAGTTTTGCCTTTATGTTTAATAAAAGAAATCTTTTTAAGATTATTATCAAAATAGAAACACAGGATTTTTTAAAAATGTATTTAATACAGGATCTTCAGGGTCTATAGGGTCTCACTACATAGATCGGACTCATAGTGATCCCCCTGTTTTTCAGCCTCCCAAGCAATGGAATCATAGGCACATACCACCACACTCAGTCTCAATCGCTGTCTCAGCACAACCTGGTGGCAGGGCTGGCACGTCACACTGGGGATCAAACCCAAGTTCCAGCATCTGCCTAAGCAGGTGCTTTAATCCACTGAGCTATCTGGCCAGCCTGAAATATAGGATTTTAAAATTCAAGTAGAAACCACCTATCTCTGAGAATGCATCCCAAACCCCAGTTCCAGACATGTTGGTTTCAGGGACTCACAAAGCCTTCTAACAAAGTCAACAGCCACAATGGTGTTTCTGTGGTTCACAGGGGCTGATTTGATTCTTATAATCCTCCATGGGATGGCAGAAGGCCCAGCTTTCAGCCGTTTCTTTCTTCCAAGCAGAACAAGTGTCAGATGATGATGGAGGTATAAACTCTGCTCCTACCATATCATACAGCCAATGCCCTACTGAACAGAAAATAGCACAGTGCAGAATAATTGGACTTGCAGCTTCTGGGTAATTGCCTGATTGCCCACCTAACTTCAATTCCACATTTTTCCCCCCTGACCAGGTATGTTCTTCCTCTCTGAGTGTTCTCTCTGTCTCTCTGTCTCTGTCTCTGTCTCTGTGTCTCTGTCTCTGTCTCTGTGTCTCTCTGTCTCTGTCTGTCTCTGTCTCTCTCTCTTTGTGTCTGTCTGTCTGTCTGTCTGTCTGTCTCTGTCTCTGTCTCTGTCTCTCTCTCTCTCTCTCTCTCTCTCTCTCTCTCTCTCTCTGGCTCTTCCTTCATCTTTCTCTTTTCTCTCTCCTTTTTCTTTTTTCTTTCTTGGCTGGTAGGGTCTCACTATTTAGTGTGGGCTGGCCTTAAACTCATTTATGTAGCCTAGGCTGGCCTTGAACACATAGCTAGCCTCCTGCCTCAGCCTCTCAAGTGCTGTGATTACAAGCATGCACCACTATGTCCAGTTCTCCTATCTTTTCTATTAATTTATCCAAACAGTCTGGGCAAGTGTTCTAGCTGGCCTGACCATATAATCCAAGTGGAAACTCTCACTTTGGAGGAGAAGGGTATCCTGCAGAATGTGGGGGTCTGGATTGGATATGTCTGGGCTTGAGCATCAGGCATTCTGTGTAGATGGATCAAGAAGAGAATAGTGGCAAGGATCCATCAAGATGTGTGAGCAGAGGCTCTGTACCTGTGAGAGTGCTCTGCCAATGAGAATGTATTAAAATTCTGTTAACTAAATGTATGGTATCAATGGTGATAACTGTAAAGTTGATCCAACACCAGGCAACTCACTTTTATTCCTTTCAGAGAAACCTACAAAGACACATTTAATATGTAGTCGTATCTTGGTACTTGACTGCTCTGAGGCTTATCACATTCAGTACTTAATGCATTTTATTTATTTAGTTAGTTAGTTTTTAAATATATTTTGTGCAGGGTCTCACATGTAGCTCAGACTCATAGTGATCCTCCTGTTTTCAAGCCTCCCAGCGCTGGGATTACAGGGGTGTGATACTATGCTGGGCGGTTGCCAGTTCAGTGCGCCCAGGGGTGGGGCAGGCACGGCATGTAGTGCCAGGGATTAAGCTGTGGTTCCTGTGCTTGCCTAAGCAGGTGCTTAGTCCACTGAGCTATCTTGCCTGCCCCTTAATGCATTATGACTTGAAAATTTTGTCACAGTATTCATCAATTGTTTGGTACTAGACATAAAAGCTAGAACTTACCAGTGTTGATTGCCTTGTGACTCTACCCTTTGCAGCCACAGCAATATATTTGGTATTCATTATTTTTGGTACTGGTTGCACCTTTCAGAACAAATTAATGGTGAGTGCCCAGGTACACCACTGTATGCTGTAGGATTCCTTCCCACCAGGATTTTTTTTTTTTTTTTGGATGTATTTTAGTACAGGGTCTACAGGGTCTCACTACGTAGACTGGATTCATAGTGATCCTCCTGTTTTCAGCCTCCCAAGTGCTGCGATTATAGGCATGCGCCACTACACCCAATCTCAATCACTGTCTCAGCATGCTCTGGGTGTGGGGCTGGCACAGCAGGCTGGGGATCGAACCCCAGCTGCTGCACTACACCGGGATGATTTTGAAATATGCAGCCATATATCTGACAGGTTAGCAATCAATTAGGCTTTCATGTCTATATTTTTTGGTTAGATTCCACAGTACACCTGGTGGAAGATTCTACTGTCCGAAAGAAATCTGAGGCTTCCATGAATCATGTACAGACCTACAGAATCTTGTGAAATCCCCACAATAGTTAAGGCCCAGGAAACTTCTGGCCCTCAATCCTCCTACAGGTCAAGGGCAGGAAAGAGATCAGTCCAGGACTCCTGGTCTTTCTTGTGATGACTCCATGCCCTATGAATGGAAACCAACTGCCTGCTTCAGACTTGTTCTCTGGATCATGATAGACCCCCTAGGAGAAAACTGCTTGCAACTCAGGAAGACAGAACCACAAACAGATAAGTGTCAATTTGTGTGAGATACAGTGATGGGCACCTGCACAAGGAATTATGGGAGGAGCAACAAAAGGTATACATGGGCCCAGGCAGTGACTGGTGGTGGTGGTAGGTGCTACATAGTCCTCCTGGAGCATACGATACCCATGAGAGACAGTGATAAGTGAAAAGTAGCTAAAGAGGGTGGCTGGACAAATTAGAGAAAGCGAAATTTGTGCATACTTTTTTTAAAGGTATATTAAGGTATAATTGAAAAGTATAAATTGTGGGTATTTAAAGTGCAAAATATAAT